AAATTACAAAGTGATACCCTACCTTTGGAACTGTTATTTGCATCCAAACCTCATTCAAAATCCCTTGAAACTCAAATCGAGGTAACGGGCTTGAGAAGTCCAAGTCATGAACAAAGAACTAAATTAAGGATGAAATGAGAAAGATGGCCTGAGATAGCGGTGACATTATTACAAGACCCTGCAACAACCATAGTGGCTAAAACCATCTGTCAATCAGGATTAGCCAATTAACAGGCACGCAAGTGGTATCACGCTCACTGATTGGCTAATCGTTGATCGAAGGATGGCTGAAGCCACCTTAGTATCGGTCGATTGCTTCTAAATACCCACTATTCGTAGCATTGGAAGATTGATAAACAAATATTTAGTAGACCTGCAATCAGAATAGGAATTAAAAATATTGAACAGTGCTATCTTTACAAACAATGGCCTGAAGAAAAGTCTAAACTCTGAAAAGGAATTTTATTGGAATCAAGCAAACTTGATAAACCTAAACTTAATTAGCCTGGGCCTAATTGGTTTGAATTTAATAAAACCTTATTTTTAATGAGTCTTTTAAGATCAGTTGTAATGTATCTAAGTAAAAGTCTACGACATCTTAACGACGCATAATTAGAAATGAATTGGTATTAATCGGTGTTGAATTTTGACGATAAACTTGCTAACATTCTAGCCAGGGATAAGACAGAAAAACACCTCTAAACTAATTGAATTAAGTTTGAAATTAATGTGGACTAGTCAAACGTGCAACATACCTGGCCATAGTGCACATGCAGGTCACTTAAACTTCTTTCGCTTATAACCGACTCTTTCTGAAAAATAATTTAATATCGATAGCCAGTATTTCAATTTTGTAGGATTTTGGAGTATTTGAGACCCTCTACATTCGCGGTCTGGAACACAAGCTACTTGGATCTGGGTCTTTTTTAAATAGACTTTGGCTTGGAGCTCAGCTCTTTGGCTGTATAACGGCAATAGACAATTTTCTTAACAAATGCAAGCCAGTCTGACTTTAGGGACAATTGCCCTATACTTACATTATGTTATACATCTAGTTACATAACTGGCCCTTAGGTCTTCCTAAGCAAAATCTGTCCACAAAAGGGAATTTTTCTCAAAAATTGATTTATGCTTTGCTGCGAATTTTTTGTGAATTTGGGATATTACAGAATAAAGGAAAATTTGCCGGCTAAACTCCTCTTAACGCATGATTTAATCAGTTAATGCAAACAATATGATCAACTCCTACCAAAATTGTTATCTTTTAAAAAAAAGAATTGATTTGACAATATTTTGGCGAGGGGGGTTTGCCCCAATATTCCCCCTTAGTGTTGCCACTGAACAGAGAGAAAAAGAACAGTAACACTGGAAAAAGTACTGAAATTTATTTTCTGAGATTTTACGGGGTTCATAACTTTAGGTGAAAGCTGCTTTAGGACCAGGCACCGCGGAGTGTTGAGAAAAGTGGGGGTTTCAAAAAAAGGGGAGCAAAAACCGAACAGAAAGGATATTACCTGGTGATTCATTGATTAATTTTTTGCATTTCTGTCAAAATGTGGCTAAACCACCACCCCCCCCCCAGAAAAAACCCTTGCTCCACGGTGCCTGAGGATTGATGACTATCCAGAAAAAGTGCTGTCGATACCTGTGCAAAAAGCTCGTTGCTGATAAGCCTTGGTGGAGGCCTGATTGACCCATAGCCACTCAATTCGTCTGGGTAAGGACATGTTCTTGTACGTCGTTGCTCCTATGTACATGTGCCTGCGGGCATCGCTATATCATCTAAATAGTTATTTGGAACAAGGCGACGCAAATTTTCTGACGCAGCTCCCCAGAATAAATTCTCCATATTGTTTGAAAAACCATTGAAAGTTCTTGAAAAAACAAAGTGTTGTCGGTTACAAGCAATATGATGAGGTAGCCTAATTAGAACCATGAGATATGAAATGGTTTATAAGTTCCAAAGAAAATTTTATTTTAGATATCATGGAGATTTGTATTATCAACTTTCAAAGTAGGTTGTAAAATCAAGGGAGCTTTTTGATAATTAAGAAAGCTTCTCCTTTAATTATCAGATAGGAAAATGACAAGCTCCGTAGATGATTTTTTTCTGTAAACAAATACTGAATTTTGGCCCTGGTGACCCCTCGCACTTTAACGGCATTTTCTACTGAAATACTGCAAACACTTTTCACCTTTTCTCCGTTTTGGCAGGGACAGGCATCCCTGGTACCCACATTCTGCCATGAGGACATCTCGATGTTACTGTGCTGTTTCGTATATATAGCCGGGCATCAATTGTTACTTTGGCACTGATTGTGATATTTCCACCTGGCTGCAATTCAGCCGTGTAGTCAAATGTTTGCAACCCAAGCCCATGTAAAGGAACAGCCGGGTGGAGCCTTAACACCAGAGACTGTTTGTCTTGGCTTACAGCAACACCAAACAGAGATCCTGCCTGCAAATTAAATAAATAAGACGTGTCTAAGTTACTTAAAATTATGGCCTTCTACCTCCGCCCTTTTAATGGTATTGCAGCAGGAAAACGTAAGGGGACTGGTCCCCTTAGGCATTGGCAGGATCGATCTTTGCAATTCGTTTAAAATCGAAAAGAAAATGCTAGGCAATGGGCAATAGCTATCTGATTCTATGATATTGCATCTGCCACAACGTGGCCAAACACTTTTCATGAACGTTCCCAAATTATAAGAATCTTTTCCAAAGCAAAAGGGGTGTAGCGCTAATTATTCTATTTTATTCCCTCTTCCAAGCTTGGTAACGGTGCTTCCACTGCAACATTCCTGGTCTTTACTACTTTAATACGTAGCAACTACGTTTGAAAATCGAATCTAATAGCACTAAATTCGTGCTTGTTCAAAATTCTAGTCTTTAAAAAAGCACTTTGTTGAAATTACCTTAACTTTAACATCAGTAATCTTCAGTTTTTGACAATTTCTCAGCGCTTGGAATTCCTTGACGACACTAGCCATACTAACGAAAATAATGGTTTTAATGTTATGTATGATAGCTTTAATCATGCAAACACAGCAATAATTTCCAATAAGATATTTTCGAACTGACAAGAATAAATCTTGTCCGATTAGCGCTGAAAATTTGTAAAGGGAGAACTAAAACCCAGAAAATACTGTAGAAAAGAAGAGAGGCTTTAGCACTCAAAAATATAAAACGAAGAAAAGCAAAAAAGAAAGCTAAAGCAGAATGGAAGAAGTTTAGGAAGAGAGCAACAACTGTACAAAGATTGTCCATGGGAGGGGCAAAAACTCTAGAATTGCACTTACTGCAATTTGTTATGAGCATGTGTAGACTGAAATTCACACAGTTTGACTACGTTGAAGACAGGGGTTCTTTTATGCTCACTGTCAGCAAGAAAGGCAAGCCATGGGCTAGGGGCATGGACTGAGATACCTGGCCCCCCCCCTCGCCCAAAAAAATCTTTAGTAGTATTTGTAAAATACATTTGTTTACTAAAATGTGGCTGCTTTTACACATATTTATCAGGGCTGGCCCCCCAAAACAAAAAGTTGTAGCTCGGTCTTTGGCTAAGAGGCCTCGTAAGAACCCGCCTTGAGGGGTTCGCCATGAAAGGTTAGTCTTCCTTTTTGTGTCAAGGCTACTTTTGCGGAAAACTCGGACAAAATTGGTGAAATGGTCTTAAAATCGCAGCACAAAAACAAATAATAAATGAAATCAGGTTACCTTTCTGGTCTCAAGATTCTCAAAGTTTTTCTTGATTTCACGTCGTTGGTTATCAAACTAAGGCAATGTTTTCAACCACTGTGTTACCACACACTAGCATGCCTTGAGGTATTTCCTAGTGTGCCGTGGAAAATTCTCCAATTTTACTTAATTGGTCTAAAAAGTTGAAAAAAAATTTATCCGCAAATAATGTGCCGTAGAAAAAGAGGCTGAAAAACGCTGAATCAATGTGCCCTAATCTGTGTTACGCTATTGTCGTGATATGCTATTGGCCGGGAATGCAAGCGTGAATGCTAAGAATTCGACAGAAATCGTCATAAAGCTCCTTCTATCAAATAGATTATGAGTTTCTGACCTCCAAGAAATGGAACACAAACTGTTCAATAATCACAAGAATAGGCAGGTAAGCAAACAAGTGTGTATTGCTGAAAATGATGCAAGCCATGTTCACAAAAAGATATCGAAAAAATAGTAGATGTGTTTATTTGATGTCGTGGAAGAGATTCACTTTTTTAATGAAAACTTGTGAAATGCTTAAATGCTTGTTCTAAAAATGCTTATTATTTAACATTATTTTAATGATGTTTCATTTTAATCATTTTTGACTGATATTAGAAGCTTACATGTGTTAGAGTATACTTCGTATTTGGGCGTTATTTTTTTTCGGGCAAAAAAACTTCAGCCCCCCCCCTACCTTAACTCACCCCGTACGCCTATGCTGTAGGGGATATTTTTCAAAAAAGCTTCAGCTTTGCACAAGTGTTCCAACAATTTTGGCAAAAATTTTAAGTCGTTGTCGAGATGGCGTGTAGGAGTTGGGGCCAAAGAATCTGATTTGGAGGACTAGGGTCAATAACTTCCAATAAAATTTGACTCGATCTAATATTCTGGCATTTTATACTAACATGCACATTCTCGAGCTTAAAATAGCAAATTTACTAAATTCAAACAATTAGTACATGATATTCAATACCAAGACTTCTTTGAGATTCAGAAATCGAAACCTGACTTAGATTCGATTTACTTTTCTAAATATATTGATATTAATTAAATATCAAAATTCAAATAAAACTGAAAAGAATTAGCACAAAAAATGCACGGCTGTTATATAAAAATGTTGTGAAAAATAAAATTTCTATTGACATACAAAGTGTCAATACATTGGCAAACTGGATGGTTAATCACAATTAAAAATGCTTGGCTCCTCGCTTTTTTACAAATCGTCGACGATTCTTTTAGTATGAATAATATTCATTCATAGATTTTTCAAGATCAATCTTCGTTAGGATGGGTTTTGGTAGAAAGGGGTGCTATTTAAACTCTCTGTTTAAAGGAACCGTTGGCGTCAACAGACTTGCACATGAAAAGTTAGCAGAAAATACCTTCCTTGTTCAATGGCTTGTTACCCTATTTACACAAAATGTCATTGGTTGAATTCTGTCCTTCAAATAAAGGCAAAAGCACCTTAGGTTAAATCTGTTTCCAGCAGTAGCCCCAGTGGGAAGGGACATCAATACTTATTTCCAACAAAATTTTTGTCCTTGAAATTTGAATGGAAAGGGGAAAGTAAGTTTAAAACTGTTTGTTAACATCCAGGACTGAATTTCAAGGACAGAGAGAGCTGCACATTCTGGAGTTGGTGAAAATGACATATAGTGGTGCGTGTCATCAGCATAGAGGTGGAACATCATGCCTCTTTTCCGAACAATGTCTCCTAAGGGCAGCGTTTATACGAGAAAAAGTAATGGGCTCAGCACTGTTTTGCAACTGCCCTTTCGATAAGCTTTGAGGCATAAGGCAAATTGGAAACTGGTCTGAAGTTAGCATTCTTAACTTCCTGGCCTGCCTTTTTCAAATATGGGTTTAATATAGCTAACTTAAAACGTTCTGGCATAACTGAAGTCTGAGATGTCGTGTTAATTATCACAGTCATGATTTTTACAAGGTTCCCCACAATGCCTCAAAATCCACGTTTGCACTGGGTCTAGATCACATGTTGTTATTGGTGACTTTCTTATAAGTTTCTCAACATCATCTTCAGTTTGGTGACAAAATGTAGTCACTTGGGTCTTATATTTGGGTTCTTCTGGTACAACATTACTATTTCCCTATTCATGGCCAGGTCAAAATGATTTTGAATCTTCTCAATTTTCCCCACAAAGAAATCTATAAATAAATTTGCAAGCTGCAGAGTAGAGTCATGTTTAGAAAGGGGACACTCTGTCTTTTTATTCAGCATATTGTTCAGAACCTTGAACAGTCCTTTTGTATTGAACAATCAATACCTGAATTCAGGCAATTAAATCGAAATTTGCGTACTATACAAAGAAGCAAACAATTTCTGACAGTCAAGAGTCATTTCACAAATAACTAAAAAAGCTACATTCCCTTAAAAAACTGATTCTACGTTGTACACTTTTACATATAAAAATACTGACCACGAAAAGAACAAAATCAAGCCTTCATAAAACATTGTTTAAGAAAAATAATAGCAGTGGGGCGATACTGCACCCTAAAACATCAAAAGTAAAGGAAATACTAAGATCTAGATACTGTAATTTAAACTTGAAGGCGTTAGTTGTATAACATCCCAGTGAATTGTCATAGATATTGTGCAGAATAGCATATAGTTGACATTAACAAGCGGATACAGACTTCTGTGCTTAAGAAGCAGCAAAATGAAAAATAATCCCACTATCTTAACTCGTACACTGGTTAATTTATACCAGTGACCGCGCACCACTCTAAAAGTGGAGGGGCTGAAATGAGTGTGACCAAAAAGTTTTTGAGGCCATGCCCTCTTGAACGCTTGAAAACGCCCATTTTAGAGAATACTTGCTTATTTCTTTTGAATTTTTACTAACAGTCTGGTTCGGAGAAGATATCAATAACTATAAAAATAGATAGATTTAGCTTAGAAAATACATCATATCATTAAACAAGATGAAAAACCTAGAAAAAGAACAAAAATGGTTCCCAGTCAATGAGAACTACTACTACATAGGAGTAGACTATCCAAAGTTGCGTTAGAGTAAACCTTCAAAAACATTTTCTAGCCTGTTATTGCAAAAAAGTGGGTGGGCTATAGCCCCTGCTAGCCTAATGGCTGCGCGGTGCCTGATTTACACGCGTATGTTGCAAATCTCTTCAATCCATCAAATATAAAATTTGATTTTTTGGACAATAGATGTTGCTGTTACCCACAAGAAATACAAAATGGAAGTTCAGATTATTTAATTGCAAGATACACAAGCACCAATCTTCT